ATCTACAAAATATATGTGTGCGTGTGTGTATTTAAAGACGTTTCGGCACGACTGATGTGTGTGTGAGACTATGTATACAACTATACCTGCCGAGTATTGCAGGTCACTTATACACGCATTTACTTTATTTTTTGTCCTTTCATTCCTTAAGTGGCGACGGTCGACTATACCGTAAGTCTGATTTTCTTCTTTTTTTCACCATCAGACGAGACACCGCCTGCTAAATACTGCCGAGGCTCTTGTTTTTGGCGCGTAATATATTTCCTACTCAGGAATTTTCATGTCGGCTCCTTAACGGTTTATTATACAAAATTGTCGACTTTCGCAGTATGTATACAATATATATACAACATATAATATGGCGTACTACCACTTGTTATATGTAGACTCGCTTTCTCGCTGTCCGATTCATATCTGTATATTGTTCGATTAATTATTTGTTCCTTGTATGCATTAAATATTATTAGATATTATGGTTTTTCACTATTATATATAAAGAAAAACGATTTTGATTTCGATTTATTTATGAATTTCTAATTTATTATAATTTATTACCACACCAAGAATATTGCTTGTACAATAAATAATTAAATATAGCAATGTAAATAATATATCAGCTATAAAATTATAATAGGAATAAAATGTATAGGTATAAGCAGTTATCGCATAATGATGTAATAGTGTAATAGGTACTATACTCAGTGAATTACTCACACACAATATAAAAATTGATAAAAAAAAAAAAAAAAATACCAATCCCTATACATAAGTACTTGATACTATTTTAAAAGCGTGGAATAATTAATAGGAATTGCATAGTATCTACGAGGAATTGAATAAATGTATCACCCGTCACCAGTATAGTTTATAGTTATATAGGCCGGGGTTGTTGTTTTTTTTTTAAACAACTTGAATGAATAATTCATATCATTATACGCGTTTGTTTATAGTCTGACGAGACAGTACACTACGCATATACTTGATATACTCAATAATAATAATATGTACGCTACACATACTTGTACAACTATATAATATAAATTACTTATGGTATTATATAATAATATAATTACCAATGGCCAAAATTCATTTATGTTGACCTCATCTTTACCAGTTGCACGAGCAAGCGCACCGTTATACGTATTTTTTTCTTTAACAGCGTGCGTCTCCTAATCATCATCTGCAGTAACATATTTCTGTATATAATTAAAAATAATAATAATAATAATACAAGTTTGTTAGTTTGTTCCTATGATTTTCGTTGGTGCTTGTGTGTATGTGTAATATTGTGTATGTACCATCGTATTCACAGGAAAATGTATAGTATATAATATGTATATAATATTATATATTATAGGTGTAGTACCTTTCATATACGACATATTTCACCGAGTTACGGTAAACTGCAATGGCATCGATGATTTTACTCGTTCGTAATCAGACATGATAAATATAGACCACGCTTGTAAGAGAAATCATAAGTGGATATCGGATATCGAGCAAAAGAGACAGAGCAAAAATGAGCTTAAAGACTATAGCTACGTTGTCTATTATTTTGTGTACAAAATCTGAGCTTTGTCCAACTTAAAATTTCCTTGTAAATCTCGGTTAATGAATAATACCATGATTAAATTGGTCAATCAGAATAAAAGTCACTCAAACCAGCAAACGACGTAACTGTGAACTTGGCTTAATTCATTGCCCGTTGGGTTTATCACGGAAAAAAATAATTTAAAATAATTTTTTCTTTATAATAAATTTATGTTATCATATTTTGACGAATAATTTAAATTGTTTAAACTGATATTTCTTAGCTAACAACTACGTTCTTACCAATAATTAAAATATGAATTTTAATCGTAATTTTTCATAGTATACTTAATAACATAATTTTAGTTTTGAATTTTTTAGTTATTTTATCTATGTGTGTAAACTTGTATTGTATTTTATTTTACTATATTGTGTATAATTTATTTATGGTAGATGAACATTTTATATGTCAGAGTTTAAAAGCTATATACGGTGAGCCCACTGTTTGAAAATGCGTGTATAAGACAATATTTCTCTATAATATGTATTTGAATTTGACATCTGTTCTGTATGCAGGATATATTATATCTTTAGACACTATGTAAATACCCATGCAATTAATGAGCAATAATAATCCACCGTTCGTGTAGAATCTCTCTCTCCCCTCATAATACACATAATAGTTAAAATTATATTATATTTATGAATAGGCGGCATTCATTTATTCTCGTTTCATCAGTAATCTTTTTTTGTTTTAATAATTTTTGTTACTTATACAATGTATTAAATTGGATTAATGCAAATAAAACCATCAACAATAAAGATCAAGTTTTACTATTTTTTTTTATCACATTTTCCAAAAATATATTTAATATTTATGCATTTTTTAAATAGGGTTAATGTATGTACAATAACTGTTAATAACATTGATCATTTAATATTTTATAGCAAAAGTTTTGTATTTTTATTGTTTTTTTCCCCAATTAGTAACGTTTTTCTTTTTATTACAGTTATAATAAATTTATAGTTTTTTGTACTTACTACTTACTCTTCTACTTCAAAAATCTTGGTTTCACTGTATTATACAAATCGTGGGTTTAAAATTCTTTTGACGCGTTAACTATATGTTATATTATTTTATTCCGGGGTTATCAGGTTATTAGGAGCCGGTTGCATTCTCTGTGAGGTACGTCGTATATTATTATTATTTATTATTATAATAATAATAGTCAACCTCGGACTGGGAGTAGGTGGTTATTTTAATATGCAATTGTATATCGTGCATATTGACGTATGACAGTTGCTAATAATATAAACATTTAATATAATAATATGTCGTTCGACTTGTCAATAAATCAATATAATGTTTGACAATACTTAATGTAGTTAATACTACTATAGTCGATATACCCACAATACTATCTGTAGTGTTCTATAATATGTAAATATACATAGAATGATAACTTGAGAGTCTTAACTGATCTTAAGTCAATTTTATTTTCAATTACACGACATTTTTGAAAAATAATTCAAAGTTTTTTAGAATTTTTCTGTAATGGTAACTATTATTACATCGATTTTCGGTCTTAAATATTTCGATCCATACCTTTCAAACTAGTTGTTACAATTAAAATTATACATTGGTTTATAATGATTTTAGATCAGCCTACTTATGTTACATATGCAATATGCATACATATATAAATTATAAATGTAATAATAATAATATTACTATAAAATGCTGCAATTAAATACTAAAAATTTGACAAATTTATACGTACTTGCCTTGTAAATAACGAGTGTCAGCAGTTATCCAGTTAAATATTTACTGATTTTTTTTACTCATAATAGGGTCCGGCGAAGAAAAATATGTTTTTATTTTTGTATAAATGTGGTACTTAATATTTTAACTATTATGTTTTAAAAGTTTTACGTTGTGGATGTTTTGAGTATATTGAATTAAATGATCGGTCAAAATGCGCGTATTATCTCGGCTATCATGATAATATTATATTTCCTACACATACCTACAATGTGCATAATATATTTTAATAACATGCGTATCTAATTTCACTTATGCAAATTGATGTAGAAACCTGCATTAAATCCATAAAATTTAGATCAGAACACGCGTATCACCGAGGATACATACACGCGCGACCATATAATAGACTCAACTTCGTACAATTTCGATTAAATTTCGAGAACGAGTTTATCGATATACTTACGCGCGTACATACACTATACTATATTATACGAGTTTAATGGATCGAAAACACGCCATGCGTGTGCATGTTAATTTAAGATGTTATTTTACATGTACCTCTACTTATTACATACGCAGACGACGTATACTTAGACCGAAAATAGCTTAAATTAAATATTTTTTAAACATATTTTTTGTATTTTTCTTTTTCTTACAAACGGTCTACTTATTATATTATTGCGATTCGCGACTATATTAAAATATATTGTACATACCTACATACATGTATTTATATTATATACTATTATATCTAATGCAATCGAGCGAGCACGCGCACGTCCATTATATATTAAAATATTATATTTTATTATAAGTTGGTATAATAATATATTTATCAGATCGCGTGTATTGATTTTTACGAATTCAATTATTACTATTTATTTTTACTCGACTGATGCTACATTCTACAGGTGGTTCTGATCTATTTTCGATCAAATTTCAAATCCTTGTAACGCGTATGTAATAAATAATAAATATTAATATAGTATGTATGTAAATGTTATTACTTATTAGTTATCATATTATTATTATGTGACTTGAATCATATGAAAATCGTCCACCAAGTTCATCGCAGCTTCTAAAGTGCATTTATATTTGTCGTGTAATGCGCATTCTAAAAATACGTATGTAGCGATAAATAAAAATAGGTTGATAACGTACGTGTTGTATTCCAAAGTTTCCAAAAACAATATTTTTTTTTAGAATCATCATCGTTCTATCGATAAAATCTATATTTTGTTATCAATTTTGAACTTTAACCAAATTTGAGCATAAAATATTATGCATTAAACCATTTTCGACTCGTTACGGTCGTCAATTTGTAAAATATTGTAGTTTTTGATAAATGTCTTCCAAAACATTGTGATACCAGTTATGCGCAATGCATAACAAATGTTGAAGTTTTTCTATTCACAATACAAGTATTCGCGTCAAATTGTAAATTAACCTAATTAGAGTGAATAGTGCAGGGGGTCTGCACCACCTCATGAGGCTGCCCGATGTTACAAGGACGTAAACGGAAAAAAGACAAAAACTTAAGGGCTACCAACTACTTAAAAACAAATCAATATGAGATGATACAGAACATTATATTTATTTTATACCGTACATGTTATACATTCTAATCGAGTTTAATTATTTTAACGATAATATACTGTACTATGTAGTATTTATTTGTTATTTAATTTTGGATTTTTTTTCGCAGGATCGGCTAGCCGGACATGGTACAGTCGCATCGATCGGCAGTGGCGGGGGAGGTGGTAGCGGCGGTGGAGGTGGTGGCGGGGGTGGCGGAGGAGGTGGCGGAGGCTCGTCACCATTTAGTCCGCATCACCATCACCACCATCACCACCACCGGAACACGACGCCCACCAATGCCGGTTCCAACATGGGACACCACCAGGACTTTCAGCCGCCGTACTTCCCGCCGCCGTTCCCGCCGGCCCACCATCACCATCAGCCTTCCACTGGCAACGCGTCTTCGCCGTCCGCCATGGACTACATCAACGATCCATACTCGCAGACGCTCAACAGTCTGCACCAGAGCGCTCAGGCCGCAGCGGCCGCGCACCACTACAATCAGTTGACCGTGGCCGCGGTGTCCGTCGGCCAGCGGCACGACGTCCTCCGTCGGTCGGACTCGGATTCCATACATGTGGTGAGTGAAATTTTTGATTATAATTTCGATGCCCAGCTATGAGGTCGATTGAAACACGCATATAACACTATTTCCAAAGGGATTGGAGAAAGTCTCATTAAAATAGTCTTTATATATAGGACGTGACAATTGATAAAAATAGGTAACTTCAGGGGGTGTAGAAATTAAATATTTTAAAAATACGAATGCAATAGAAAAAGTTAGCTTTGTTAAGACAAAATTACATTGGGATATAATATAGCTACTCTCATAAACCGTTTTTTTACTCCCTCTCACTTTTTTGACTGGTATTGTAAGGGAAAAATTATCGTTTGGTCCTTTGAATAATATCAAAGGGAGGCAATTGGCAATTGCATCCAAATACCATCTATGGATGAGTGTAAGTATACCTACATTAATAAGCTGCAATACTATTGTGTATACATGAAGGAGGTTAATACATAATATGTCTCAATTCATACCACCCCTAATCAAATGCGTTTGCTGTAAAAAATAAAAACTGGTTTTTGTAAGTTATTTTATGTAGGAGTTTCTAGGGAAAATAAAGATCTAACGTCTAAATTTCATATAAAGTTATATTTAGTTTAATAGCAGAAATAATCTCTACAAGGATTTGTTGCATAATTACGGAATTATATATTTTAAATTCGCGTGAATATTATTGTATCTTAAGCTCTTAATATGTATAATAAACAAAATGATTTTTTATTATGTTCACGCCATTTTTATGTTTAAATTATGCATATATTCAAATTCTGGTTATTTTTGTTTTTTTTTTTTTAAGTTTGCTTAACAACAATATTTTCAAACACCGTAAAATTACTTTGAATTTACTCGTATGAATTTAAATTTCAATGCATTATTAATCTTTATACAATAATCTGCATATTATATTTTACGTTTTGGAAGTATTGTCAATTATCAGAAATAAAGATGAGTTATCATTTGAAAAAAATAAATAATTCGTATCATTTAAGGACAGCTAATCTTTGAATACCGTAAAAAATATAAATGGTGGTTAACATAATATATGTTTTGGTCGTGTATGAGTATGATGAACCGATTATCCCAAATGTATATAGAATAAATATCAGATTATATAGGTACCTACCATAGGCAAATGCAATAAAATTTCGGTCAGCCTGTAGCCGATTTCTTAATTTTATTATTTCGATTGTTATCAGCATTTAAACACATTAATAGAACATGTCAGCAACGGGTTTTCGTAGTTAAGTAAATAATTTATACTAACAAAATAATACGTACCTAATATGCCGCTATAGGTAAACAAACAATAAATAATAACATAGTTGCGACCCTTCACAGAGCACCTGCAAGCTTTTACGATATTCTTATACCTGAGAGAAAGGGCTACTATACATTCGGACCAAATCTGGACCACACGGAAAATCGCTTCTTGAATCTATCGTTGTCTCTTCATTTGATCTCAAACTATAGTATTCACCTATCCGCCCTATTATTATTTAATGGTCTAACATACATTTTAGTGATGTATATAATATGATAAAATATCGGACTCGCGTTTACACATTTCATTATTGTTATCGTGCACTCTTGAATCGATTAATCATACGAGCCGTTTGAAACAGACAACTCGAGACAATCGTAGGTCGCGCGCGTATACATCAGAAACGTGACCGATCGGATAAAAAAATCGATTCGCCAGTGACCCTCGCCCTTTGCGGTGTGATTGTGATTGTTATTCACGAGCGAGTCGGTATTGCCAAGTTTTCATATCACAGTACGATGTTGTCCCGTCAACAGAAATTCGGTTACGGAACTCGATGATAATAATATTATTATTGTTATACTTTTTTATTATTATCACGATCTCATTTACGTAGATTTTAAGCCTTGTTCATTTTATGTAGATATACCAAACGTAGTCCATAGTAAATGTCACGCGGGAAATAAATTATTTGTCCGCGTAATAATAGTATGACACTATGATTTTCGAGTAGTGAATTAAGTTTTAAATAGTCATACATTTTTGTGAGCAAATCTTTCGTAAATAATAATAAAGTCGATAAATACAGGTATCACCAAGCGTGCATAAATAATATATATATACTTAGATTAATTAATATGAGTCGACCATACGCATAGACCACAGGGAGTGGAATTGAGATTTGAGAATATCTAAATTTCTTAAAAGTCTATTAATTAGTTACTACACTTTCAACACTTTTAATCGGTGATATTTTCCAGTGTATTATTTTCAAATTCATTAATCATTTTAACTCCTGAAGTAATTGAACCACCACCCTTAATCAAGAAACTACAGCAATCGTCTACAATTACGAATATAATATAACCACACGTTGCAAAATTTAAATTATTCATACCTGTACCGTTGTAAATAAGTATAAGGCGAGACTGCAAATACCAAAGATGATGAGGATCCCACGGATCAGCGTCGTGCATTATAATATTATAATATTAGATATGATGGTCATCATCTATAGCTACCCGTAACTCCGCTAAACGTATACACATTTATTTTTCATCAACACAAAATATTTATTATTCAGATGCATATTTTTGATATTTTTATATCTATATGAAAAAAAAAAATGCTAATAAATAGATTGTAATCTTGAGTAAAAATAATTTTAAACTTTAAAAATAATATTGTTTCAAAATTCAATATGTTTATAATATGCTAAATGTTTATAAAAATATTATTTTAGTACCTATATGAAATTAAAATGATATACTCATATGTGGTTTGTCATCGAACATCAACACGGTAAACATTTTAAAAATAAAAGAGTTTTTCCCAAAAATATACAATATCTTGTAATATTTAGTAAGTACATATTATGTTCTCAGATAATTCAAATATTATCATTTTATAGTTGTAAATTTTCTAAATCACAAAGACTTAATTCGTCGAAAAATCAACTAGTACTGTTATTTGAATAATCACACTCCGCGTTGCGCGTATAGCTTGAATATAAACATAATTATATGCACATGCACCAGCTATAATTATTGCCCACGTAGACAACATTAACAGCGGCGCGTAACTCACGAGCGCGTCACACGTTGCGCGGGATAAATCTCATATTATAATATATTATTATATCTCGGTACCGTGACCTCGCGTGCTTATCCCTCGCGCCAAATGACTTATACGATATGACGTATCTGTACAGCAAGAACCAGTGGAGAGAAGAAATGAAAAATAATATTATTATATTATATTATTGCGCGCACATCCGTTTTCGTTTCGCATATTATAATATGTAATATCGTACGTTATAATAATATAAGAGGTATATAGTTATACCTATGTATTAAATAAATATCAACCCGTTCGTTATTTGCACGCGCGTGCAGTAATGTCGACATTATGTCTCGTATATAAATTTTGTTTTGCATATTTGTGTATAATATACGGGAGTTAAACAATAATTATTATACACACACAATCAAGTGTTCTGTCTTCAATTTATTTTTTTATTTTTTTGATATTCCATTATAATATTATTATATTATACATTTTTTTTCGTCCGTGTTACCATATTATGTTATTATACTCATACGACTACTCGTGCGCTCTGGAAATGCCGCCGTATGTGCTTACCTATAATATTATAATATATATTACATAACTTGTACGCCCGTTAAATGACTTTAACACGCCATCCCTTGACCACGCCCCGAGATCATATATTATTACAATAATAATGATAATAGTAAAATTATAATATCTCTTATGCCTAAGAAATAAATTTTATTATCTTTTCGTTTCACGTATGTGTAATACCTCGGCGCGTGTGTGCGTTTTGTCTCCGAAGAAACGTGACCCAGCCGGCCCCCGCGATAGCAACTTTGACCCATTAAGAGTTTGAAAAAAAAACTGTTTAACAAGAAACAAAATTTTATTTATAAACTTACCTACTACCTATAATTATGTATCTGTGTATCTGTATTATTTCAGTATATGACATCGATTTTTTTGTTTTTGAGATATTATTTTGTTTATATCTAATGTTAATAGGCATAGCGATTTTTTAAGAATGCATACCCTGTGGTTAAATTACAAATATTTATTCTAATTTTGATTTATGATTGATTTTTCTTATAACCATATTGTATTATATTCAAAGTGTTGCTTTCATATCTAGTTGTAATATAACATTCAAATAGTCAATAAACTATAATCCTAAACACATAAAAAAGTGTAACTTAAATCTTATACTAGTTTGAGTTTTAATTTCAACAAGTAAAAATCAATTTAAAAAAAAATCTTTTATGTTTAAATTTATATTAATTTTAAATAAATGAGTACTTACTTAAAAATTAAAAGATCAAAGTTTGTCAACATAATCTAATCATAAAATCATAGTAACTATTGTAAGTATCTATATTGCTTAAAAAATTATGCAGTAGTTATATGTATTATTTTACTGCATTTATTTCAAAAACAATATTAATAAATATTATTCGTGACGGATTCGATTTTATATAGTTGCGCATTCGTCACATTTGGGATCGAGGGGAGGTAGAATTTTACCACGTAGGTTATCATACTTAAACCGTGGTTGTATATATCATAACTTATAAATATGTATATAAACATGCTATTATTTTATGTAGTATAATCTAAGAATTATGACATAGGTGACGTTAAAACTACGTCTTACAAATTACACTTTATGAGTATACAATAAAGGTGTTTCGTACTAAGCACGACGAAACGGATCAGGTTTTTATAACGTTGATTTTTACCATATAACGTCATAATAATATATAATTATAATTTATAAGGGGTGTCTTACTGTGGGATTGTGTTCGTCGATAACAGTTTATCTTTAATTATGATTTTGTATAATCAAATAATCAGTACTACAAAAGTACAAAACTGTATTGTATAAGAATATTGATATAATTTTATAGGTTTGTATATCAATTCAAAACGAAAATAATGATTATTTTTATTTTTACGATTCTTTAAAATGATTGAATGGTTA